GGGCGTGCTTCCAGATCTGCATCATTTAAGTATGAAAACCGCGACATGAGTCGGAGGCGGTGGCGGTGGTGGCAGCTGGTGCTGCAGAGCATGCACATCGGCTGTCATCTGTCTTGTTTCTTCTTTTGGGAGAGGTGCCCAGATTTAAGTCTTATGACTTTTGCATCAATCCTTTTATGTGTTTTATGCGCCAGTGTATTCATGTTATCGTACTGTTTATTGCATGTTGAAATAAAACACACCATAAAACAAAGATAGCATTTAGAAATGATTGAGCACGGCTGCGTATGGATATGTTCTGATATGCACTCGCATACTGCTTGCGAGGAACTGCCTTATAAAATGAACATACATAGACATTCTAGGTGGAGGCTCAGACACCTTACTGTGTTTGTTCTAACTTTCTCTCTCTCCCTCCCGCTATTTCCTTTCTTCCCCTCTATTACTCTCCCTTTCCTCCTCTCCCCATTTAACACTCCATCCCCTCCTCATGCTCATCCTCATCCTCTGTCTTTGCTACTCCCCTACCTCTCCCCGTTCCTTGTTTCCCTCTATCTATCCCCTAGACATTCGCACTTACCTTTTTCCCACTGGCTTCAACGATCATGAAACCATCCGTGATCATATGATTATTGTAATCCCACAATGGCGCTGCGCGTGCTTCGGGATTAAATGGCGACCTTCAGAATTATGCAACGTAATCCGAGTTGGCGATTGGCCGTAACATGCGACGAATGACAGAGCTCTATGTGTTTGATGCCATCTTGGTGTAATCGTCAATGTGCTTAATAGTTGTGCTTAACGCGGGCTACCCTGACTCGCTTGCTCGTCTCTTACGCCTCGCACTTTGGTGAAGTGCACGGTCGACCCATGAAACAGAACAGCGAGCTCCCCATGCTCCTTTCACGTGCTGCAATGAGAAGGCAATGTTTTTCGAGCTGCTCACCCAAGACGCAAAACGCATTCTCGGGCTACCTTGGACAGCTCCCGACTGTCTTTTTCCCAAGGCAGTTGAAGCGACATTTAAGGGATATCTGAGGACGCAATGACCTATCTGTGCAGCGGAATCGTGACCGGTGGGCCTGTGCATCTCCCTCAGTCTGTTTGCTTTTGTATGACTGCTTTGTCCCTAGGACCGTTTTTAACCGTTCATTTATCTGCCGGCGATGTGTAGTGACAGCCCGAATTTATTCCGCATTGCCAAATGCACGCCAATTCGTCAATACTCTGTGATGACGGCGTGAATGTACAGCACTCTTAAAAACTGAGCTGAGCTGAACTGATCTGAACTGGGTCAAACTCAGCAGAACGGAACACCTGGCTCACGGTTCCCGAACAGGCGCTCGCGGCTCCGGCACCATCGGTGCTCATCAAGGGAACACGTGTCCAGCCGGCGCCAGCAGACCACGCGCGCGGCTCGGACACGGACGCCTGACGACGGTAGCTGACGTGTCCCGGGCCCATCGGCGGCTCGGCTCCCGGCTCTTCCGTCGAGATCGCGTATCGTGTCTTAACGCTAGCTAGGACAGGATCGCGACCGGTGTTCCGACATTCGCTGACGCTTGATGACTGCGCCGTTTTGTGTGTGGGTCCCGTCGCCCTCGCCGGCGACGCTGGCCTCGCCTCTGCTCAAGGTCACGGACGTCCCGTCTGCGCATGCGCTCTAAAGTCGGCCGGCGGTAGCGAGGGGACGCGTGAAGGCGCCGATCGGCTCCGAATCTGCTGCGCGGAGGTGCCCGGGTGGACTGAAGCGAGGAAGCCGATACGTTGGAACGACTGAAGCCACACGCCGCCAACAGCCAAGTGAGACTCGGCGGGGGCTGGGGAGGGGTTCGCTACGTGGTTCGCTGGATCTGAGTGTACCGAACGCGGGTATCGGACATGGGGCGGGGACTATGTTTGGGCTCCGCCGGCACTGCCGCCAGCACTCTACACCACAGTGCGCCGAGCCCAGGCCCCAAACCGGCTCTGCGCGTGCTGGAGCTGTTGGCGTCCAGCAGAACAGGCGATCGCGCACGTGGAAACGGTGATGGAGGGGGGCATTGACCTGCCCGCTGTTACTGCATTCAGCGTCGATCGTTGGGTTTTAGACAGCGATCAATGTAGCAAATGCCTACGCAAAACTTACATTGCTCAGGTTCTGAATAGCGATTCCAAAAATAACATTTTAAAATGGTCGTCGCGTTTTTCTTCTCCTTTCATGGTTTCGTAATGGTGCTGTCTCTTTTCTTGTGATGGTTGCTTTGGGACAGTCTCGTGCCCTGGCCCCTTGGAACATTTCTGCTCCCCTGCAGGCCATCAAGGATATTCATGCGCGGCCATGTAGTAATAAACAGGTGACCTGAGAATGTAACCGGCCAGCCACCGGTAATAGACAGGTGACCTGAGAATATAACCGGCCAGCCACCAGTAAAAGACACGTGACCTGAGAATGTAACCGGCCAGCCACCAGTAAAAGACAGGTGACCTGAGAATGTAACCGGCCAGCCACCGGTAAAAGACAGGTGACCTGAGGATGTAACTGGCCAGCCACCGACATACGCAGTCATTCACGGCTTTCAAGCGCTGTGTTGAGTTGTTTCGGTTAAGTGCAATATTCTGGGATCCCCCTAATTGGTTTTCAGACAGTCCCTGCTTACTTCTCCTGAGATCAAATAAGGTGGACACGCCGAGCTGGACACGCCGGCAACGCTGGCGTAGAACGCACAGCAGAACGCTCCAACGTAGCACCCCTCCTCCAAGACTTCTCTCACCAGTCTGTCTTCAGATCCTGACCCCGGGTCCTCATCCTTTTGTCTTCCCGCGGTTCACGTGATACCCACTTCATCGCGCATAGCAACTGGCATAGGAGCAGCCACGTTGGCAGTGGGTGGGTTTGAGGTCAAATAAATAAATAAACCAGCCGGCCGATCAGTGAGGGCAGCTCCCCAGCCGATCCTGGCGCCACCAGCGGCATCAGCCTGTAAACAACATGCAAAACATGCTTCTCTTTCCCTGCGACTTGTCCGGCTTCGAGAGGGTATCATCGGCTGGCGCCCCCGTCGTTGGAGCTTTCCACGGAACGTAATGCTTGAATAAGTGCCGGAAAGAGTCGTCATCGCATGACCTGGCAGGTATTTCATGAATTACGCGAATGTCCTCGGTCGCACGGGGGGCGAGCCGTACCGCGGGAGTACGCAGAGAAGGCGGTGGCACAGGACATCGTGTAACGACGCTCTGCAAATACTGGGGAAGCGTTGAAACGCAGCGGACGCAGGTTTGAACTCCTTCGGTGCAAACGCGGAACGGATCAGCCAAATGTTGCCCCTCATCACTGCCGCTTCATCTTCCTCTGCAACAGGGCCATACCTTTGACGCGTATTGAGATCCACGCGCGGTTTATGTCCATTCTCTGCCGTTAATAAAATCTGCATATATTCTGTCGCATATATATATATATATATATAAAGTTGCATAGAAGCATATAATCTGCCTCTTCCAACAATATCTTTGTCGTGACAGCGTTGATCGCAAGTTCGCGGCCAGATGGGCACCATATGTTTCCGCCCGCCCAGAAAAGCCCTCCCGAAAAATCGAGATATTGTTATCAGGTTTTTCTGTACGTGCATGCATATGTATATACGTACATCTATATATATCATATATCTGTACGTGCATACATATGTATATATATATATATATATCCATATGCATACATACAAACATGTATATTCATGCACTTGGGTAGTATGCTTTCATTAATGCAAGTTTTGTGATATGCAATGGCAAATGGACATTCAATCATTTTCTAGTGCCTTTGCTCGATTGTTGGAATTAAATCCTTTGTTATTTTTGATAAGTCACAAATAAGTTTGACTATGCCGTTTCACTTTCAGCTAGCTAAGGTTTCATGGACATTTGCTTTCCATTCTCAAAGTAATGTAAGACGGTCGGACGGAAAACGTTCAACATAGTAAATACGACGCATGCTCTACGAGGCATAAGCATTGGAGATCCATCAGTTGGCAGAATATGCATTCAAATATCTGGTCAAGTTACAAAACACGGACAAACACACACGCACACACACAAACACATCACTTTTCCAGCCAGTTTAACACCATGGGAAGGTAGAGACATCGAATCAGCCTGCTATCATTGGGTGACTAAACAAGTCCGAAGTGATACGTGACTTAAGCTGTTTGTTTAGGCCAGGGTTCTTTTTCTGATAAGGATGGCTTCAAGAACTTGTAAGCGGCGTTTGTTTGGGCATGATTTTGGAATCTGGGTGTTTTCAGTCGAGCTAGAGCGTAGGACTTTTATGGTGGGGTTTGCACATATGTCGGTCTGGCGTTGCCTCCTGCAGGTGCACCGTCATGAATCATGAAAGAGATGTCGAAGTCATTCCAATATAGATCGAGTTGCGGATCTGAGATCCGAGACGGCAAGGCCCACTCAGGGAAGGAGAAGCGACGGTCTCAGCACTCATTCCATCGGCTCATCCAGTGTTACGGAGTTTGGCGAGCGTCGAGGTACACACTGCGCGGTTAGCCGGCCGCGAGCCATGGGCCTCGGCCCTTCCCCACTCCGACATATCAGATGCACGGCTCGTTCCTGCTTCCAAGGGAGTGTTTAGCGTTTTGTTTGACAGGTGTGGATGTCGGCAGTCTCTTGGTGATGTGGGTGGCCGTCTGTCGGTATGGATGTCGGCAGTCTCTTGGTGATGTGGGTGACCGTCTGTCGGTAGGGATGTCGGCGGTCTCTTGGTGATGTGGGTGGCCGTCTGTCGGTATGGATGTCGGCGGTCTCTTGGTGATGTGGGTGACCGTCTGTCGGTATGGATGTCGGCGGTCTCTTGGTGATGTGGGTGACCGTCTGTCGGTATGGATGTCGGCGGTCTCTTGGTGATGTGGGTGACCGTCTGTCGGTATGGATGTCGGCGGTCTCTTGGTGATGTGGGTGACCGTCTGTCGGTATGGATGTCGGCGGTCTCTTGGTGATGTGGGTGACCGTCTGTCGGTATGGATGTCGGCGGTCTCTTGGTGATGTGGCTGGCCGTCCGTCAGTGTGGATTCCAACAGGAGCGCTTCTTATGAGAGGGAATGCCACGTCAAAGGCGGAGGTCTTAGCCGTTTGTGCTGGACACTTTTGACGAGCAGCAGCAGTACGTCCACAAAAGAAGCGAGTTGTATGGGGAGCAAAAGCGTGGACCAGCCCCCACCCTGGCCTAAAGATGAAATAAGGAGGATGAACATCGAGATAGAGACGAGAACCCGGGATAAGGGACACAGCTGTGGCGCAAACAAGGATTACGAGAGTGATGACTAAGAACAAGACTGGCCAGCGTGGTGCTTGCATGCGTGAAGTTCGGTATGTATTACGATACGCCCACGTATTTCGACAGTGTTTTCTTCGTAGGATAAGGCAAAATTTCATCGCATCCTTGGCCCGCGGGTGCCGTCTTCATCTCGTACCCTGCGATACTGCGCAATCCTCAGTCAAATTCTTGAATTTCGTATCTAGCATTTCACCGCGGAAGGCTCCTTCGCTACCTTTGTTGCACTCACCATGCCACGCTTGTTACATTAATGGAAGAATATATTGCTGATTATCGACCGCGCATGTTTTTACAGATACGTATATCAGTATACTGGCGCCGCATCCTGTCTGGCCACGTTCCCCTTGGGACAGTAAAGGCTCGCC